CCGCCGCCGCCCCGCTGCCGCTGCTCGCGGCCTCGCTGCTGCTGCCGCTGCTCCTCCCGGCCGCGCCCGCCGCCCGCGGCAGCCTGGAGCCCCCGGCCGGGAACGGCAGCCGCCCGCCCGCCGCGCCGGCCCCGGGCAACCACAGCGGGGCCCGGCTCAGCCCCGTGCCCGCGATGCTGCGGGACCTCTCCGCGCTCAAAGCCGCCGTCATCGGGGCCTGCGCGCTCACGGCCGCGCTCATCGCCTGCCTCCTGCTCCGCGTCTTCAGGTACCGGGGCCGCCCGGGGCTGCGGGGGCACGGCCCGAGACACGGCGGGGCTGGGGGTGGGACGGCTTTGGGGCTCCGGGAGAAGGGGTGAATCCCTCCCGGTTTATTTTATTATTTTATTGTTATCTTTATATATATATATATATATATGGAAATTATATATATAATTATGTGTTATATAATAGTAAGCATTGACCTGCCCGTAATAACAGTTTTAAAGCCCGGCCTCGAGCACAGCGTGTGCTCAGGAGCCCCTTGGGGAAGTCTTGGGGGGGCTGCCGGGGCCTGGCAAATCTTGCTCCGCCTTCCTCCCGCTTCTGCAGGAAATTAGGGCAGGAGTTGGGTTCCAAGTGGGCTTTTCCAGCGTGGGATTCACTCACTGCATGGTGGCCGGGGGCGTGGAGTGGGCGTGGAAGATATCACATCGAACTCCATGGGAACATCTGGAAATTCGTGGGGTTGTAGTCAGTGGGTCGCTGGGATTGAGGCCCAAGGAGCCTTGGGGTGTCCGTCCATGGAGACACACAAAGCCCAGCTGGAGATCCAGGTCCAGATGGCAAACTGTCTCAGCTCAGCGTCCGACTGCAGGGCAGGGACACCCGGGAAGAGCCAGGAGAGGGGAACAGCTGGCACTCAGCACAGGGTGGAGGCCAGGCCACGTCTCAGGTGACAGGAGCAGTTGAACAAGTGGAGTTGGCAAATTCTTCCTTGTTCTGTCTTCAGGCAGCTCCTTTGTATTTACAGGATGGCTGAATGCTCTGCTTCTCCTGCTTCGGAATTAATTCTGTGTAGGAAGGACAGCATTCATAACAGTAGTATTACAAAGTGGGGTCTATAAACTGAAATGATCAGAACTGATATTTTCCAAGGAAATTGACATTTAACTAAATTCTACTTAAGCGTTGCAGCAGCTGGCAGAAGGCAATGCAAATAAATGTGCTCATTAAAGTGAGGTGGTTTGGGAGAGCCCAGTAAAGTATTGAAGAGATTTTTTTTTTTTTTAAATCAGTATAACCACTTTGCAGCTGTATAAAATTGTCATGGACAAACAGCAGAATTGACAGTGTGTATATGAGTTAGAATTAGGAAGTCTATAACTAAGAGTAGAATGAAAGGTCTAAGTTTCTACTCCTAGTTCCGTCTGATCTTGGAGACTTTATTTCCTCTGCCACAGTTTCTCCTGGGTATAAAGCAAGGTCTTGTGTCAAGGAGAACTGGCATAAGGCAGAATGTTTCTAGCCAAAGAAGGCAAACTGATAGCCTTTAAAGGCCTTCCCTATACCATAATCACCAAAAACAGGTCCAGGTTAAAGTCACCTTGGGAATGGTGGATTAGTTCTCTCATGCCAAAGTCGTCATTATATAACTGATCAAAGTAAATGCATCATTAAGGATACATTAAAATAAACACACATACCTGCCCCCTCCCAACCCCAGATCTCTTGTAAATCTTTGGTAGAACCTCCTAGGAAAAGTGGAAGGTGAAGCTTTTTGGCTACTGAATATGTTTCTTTATTTTGTAAACAGTTATCCCGGTTGCAAATGAGACCAGAATACCAACAGGTGTGTCTGTACAGTGTCACACTTGTAGCTGACAACATAGATCACAGGAGATTCTGGTGCAGAAGAGATAAGGGATTTACCCTCAATAAATGTAAAGCTTTTCTCCATCAGAATAAGAGCTTTGTTCACACTTAGTCAAAAACATTGTGATTTTTTTTCTGAAGTGTCATGGATTCCTATTAAAGAGATTTTGCTGAAATCCAATCTTTGATTAAACCTTCACTATGAAATTGTTCTGGGTTGCTTGGAGTAAATTATCCTTTTAGATATGGGCTGTAGAAATGAAATTAACTAGTGAGTGGTCAGATACTCTTGTCACAGGCATTGGATTAATTTTTTTATACATTTTATTTTTTATATACATTTAATTTTTACATATTTTTCTGTTTATATTATTTTCCTTTTTTGTTTGAGCAGGGATAGATATATTTCTCCGATTTTCAGCTCTGTTCTTAAGACAACACCCAGAGATTCCTCTTCATTTCTTTTGGGAATGTTATGCTCTGAATTTATCTGATGGTCCTGTGGTTCAGAATGTGGTGTCACCCAAAGGGGTCTGTGAAGGCCAGCCAAGACTTTGCTGTTTGTCTGCATGTGGCAAGGCCTAAATTGCTATAGTATTTATTTATTTATTCTTTTTTGCAAGCTCAGTTCTGGGTTTGCTTTCTTTCCTATACCCGTGGGCTCTGCATGCTCTCAAAACCATCTCCAAAACCATTTCCACAACAAACCAAATTTCATGTTATTCTCAGTCAAATAGTTGAGTAGTTTGCATTACCAAGTTTGCATTACATCTTGCAACAGATGATGGGTGGCTAAATTTGCTCTTTGAGCTGCATTTTGGGTTTTGCCTTTTTTACACTCATATTCTGCCCTGTTTCTCTCTCCTGGTGCAGCTCAGTTCATTCCATTGCAATACAATTCTTGGGATCAGCTCACAGGAAACAGAATTTTTCAGATGTGGTTAAGTGTGCTGGTAGACCATGTGCCTTCTAGGGAAACTGGATAAGTTACTTTTGCTCCAGTGGACCAGCTGAAAGCAACCCAAAGCTTTCATTGCAGAAAACACTGTGCTCTAAGAGTTTGCTTCATGTCTTGACCTGCCCTTGAACGAGCAGAACCCAGGCTGGAAAGGCTGCTATTTATCTAGATTTTTAGAAAGAAGCTACCTTTTTATTTTGTATCTCATTGCTTTGTTTCGTTGCTTCATGTTCAATCTGTATTTCTTCCTCAAATACCATTTTTAGCTTAGTTTTCCAGTAGTTGCAAAACTGGTATAAATGACTGACATTGAGGAGAGAGGTTCAAGCATATGATCATAGGATACATGACCCTTTGTTCTATGAGCTGGGCTATTGCTCTGGGCAATCCAAGTCTTAACCCCAGAGAGTTTAACTGATGTAAAATTAATTGTATTATAACCAGTTAGAGTACTCCAGCAAAGACAAGATTTGATCTGAGGGAAAAAACCCTCAGATTAAATTATATTAAATGGAAAAGAAAGAAACCCAAAACAACCAAATATCCAACCCCAAAACACATTTTTGACCCACATTGAAAACTTCATTTAAGCTGCTGGTGCAGGTAGTAGTTATGGCCACAAAGAATGTCAAAAGGGAAAACTGGATTGTCTTGATGTGGGTGTGACAGCAGATTAGCAGAAGGAGGGGAGAGGGGATTGCTGTTTTGTACTGTCTTGGGCTCTTTACAGCTCTGATGTGAACAGTCTCAACAGGATGAATATTGTTTCTTCTTGTGGAGTTCACTGCCTTGAAGAGTTTGGGCAGATCATAAAAGTTTCTATAGCTCTGCCCTATAAAACAAGGATATTTCTCAAAGCTCTGCCCTATAGAACAAGAGTACTTCTCAAGCACTTCTCAGACAATATTGGTCTGACTGTGCTGTAGCGTTTGGAAGTAGGTGCTGGCACTGGTACTGACCACCACGTGTGAGTGGGTGTATGTTAAATACTTACAGACATCACTGCCTCATTGAACCACAACAATATCCCATTTAGGTGTTCCTGAAGTTATTCCCGGTACTAGTCTCTGATCCATCTCTGATCTGTCTCCTATTAGTGGCACAGTTAAGCAAGGGGACACTTCTGCTCTTTGTGCCTGCATATATTCCATCTAAAGAACTTGATTGTTAGAAAACACGGCAGTTTCTACGGCAAAGTGTATCTCCTAAAATCATGGTATGGTTTGGGTTGGAATGGACCTTAAAGATCATCTCATTCCAACCCCCTGCCATAGGGAGGGACACCTTCCACGAGAACAGGTTGCACCATCCTTGAACACTTCCAGGGATGGGGCATCCACATTTTCTCTTGGCAGCCTCACTGTGCCAGTGCCTCACCACCCTCACAGTAAAGAATTTCTCCCTAATATCTAATTTAAACCCGCTCTCTTTCAGTTTATGGTCATTCCCTCTTGTCCTATCTCCAGAAAACATGTGAGGGCTTGGCATCGTGGTCTGACTTTGCTGTGTACAGCACCATCCAGAGAGCAGAGATACTCAGACAGATCAACAGTAATGAAATATCGCTGATCTAATTCATCAGCTAGTAGTAAGTCTGCAGTTTCCTGAGGTTTATATTTCCATATTTTTTTTTAACTGCTAAGAGAGTCCATTAACAGCAAATAAACTGGTCCTAATTCCATTCCTGGTATAACATTGCTGCAGTTCTAGGAGGAACTGGCTTAATCAGACTTCCAGTAAGCACCCTGCTAAGAAGGGATGGGTTTTTTTTTTTTCAGTTTTCTTTTTATTCCAAGGAAAGGTCCCCTCCCACTACATCTCTTAGCAGGAAGTGTTAATACAAGTTAAGAAATGCAGAGACCTCTCTCTCTCTAGGTCAGGAAAAGCATTATCTTTGAATGTCAGTGTTGTTGACTAAAATAGATTAGAGGCGTAAATAATATAATGAACTAGTGAGTTGACTCGAGCAGTTACCCACCACATGATGCCTCAGAAAGGAGGATGAAGTGCTGCATATGACTGGGGCTTGATCAAAATAGCCCCAGGGCAAAACACAGACACAAATTCAGTGTTCTGCTCCAGCCCCGTGTGTTGTCCCTCCCTGCACTCTACCAGGTGATGGACCAGGTAGGTCCTGGTGAGGTGCCTCAGGCATCCGAGCCCAGTGCCACTCCAGCTTCTCCCAAGCGTTGTGCTCACCACGGCTGCCTTCTGTCAACACCAGTGAGTTGGTTTGGTGGGAGCAGCACTGGGTCTGCAGTGAAAGATTAATATCCCTCACCACAGTTAACTTGGGTTTTTTTTGTTCTTCCTCATGGTAATTCGGGACAAGACCCGTAGCATCCCCTCCTAATTACAGGGAGTGGCTGAAGTCAGCAAAAGCAACAGGATTTTTTAAAGTGGAAGGTGATTTTCTGCACTGAACTACCCAGCACCACTCCTGCCCTGGCTAAACCACTTGGGGAGTGTGTCAGCTTGTCATTGTGCAAGAGACACACTCTGACCATGCAGCTTCCAGCATGCTTCTTGTTTGCTTCAAAAAAGCCCCTATAAAATGAACCTGGCTGAAAAGGAGATCCTCTGTTTGCCCATGAGGCCTGATGTGTCCTGATCCTATCCAGGAGGTCTCCAAAGTTCATGAAACATTTGTATTCTGTAGTTCCTGCCTTGTGCTGCTCCGCTGACTCTGCTGCCTGGTCCAACCTGCTGGATAAAGGGCTTTTCCTTTTTGGGTTGTCATGGCTGATGGTTACAGGGATCCACTGCGGTTTTAGGAGTTTTAATGTGAAATAGTTTCCTGATGGGCATCCTTATTTTGTGTGCATGTAGGCATACTCCCGAGGCTTTCCTGCAAAGTTAGCTTGGGTAATTCTTCTAATATTTATGAAGCCTGGGGGAGTTGTTCAAATGAGCAAATGTGAGAAAACAGGCAATGGGAAAGTAGATTAATGACAAATTAGCTAGGAAATCTGGTGTGGAATGAATTGAGAAAGGGGTGGCGAGGAAAGACCTTTTTGCCTTATCAGTGGCAGACAACTGATTGTAGCAGCTTAGCCAAAAACCAGCAGCAAAACAAGCTTTCTGTCTTTCCTAAATGAGCACTGTGGTTAAGTGAGGGTTGCAGGGATTAATAGATCGCTGTGCAGCGAGTTCTGCTCCAGGTCCTCTTGAAAGTGTAGCCCAGATAGACTAATTAATGGCTGGAAGCAAAAGGGTTCTAGTTTCCCATTTCTAAAAATACCTATTCTGCAGTAATTTCTTCAAACATTCAATTATTAACTATTCTAAGATGAACTCTGTGGAATAAGTTATGTTTTTTAATGGAGGGAATGAGGGAGGATGGCTCTCAGTAAAGTAGGCCTGATGTGCAGGTAGGATCTTAAATGGAACCTGTGGAAACCCCCTGCAAACTGCAGGTGAACTCAGAGTGGTAAGGCTGTGCTTGGTTAGTTCTGACAGGTAGACACAGGTTAGTTTTGTCTCTGTTTAGGCTTCACAGCGTGAGTAAATATTTCTTATAAAAACAATGCATTTACTTGCTCGATGAGACCTCCCTGCTTCACTTTAGTGCTAGGTTTTAGCAGAGAAGCAAAATAACAGACAAGTGGTTTCAAAAGGATTTTCAAGTGTTTGGGTTAAGAGTCCTACTGCACTGGATATAAAATTGCTTGTTTCAACAACAGCAGGAAAAGAACAAACCACCCTGTACTCTGCGTGACACAGTGGCACAGATTGCTCTAAAGATTAGACAGGAGACGACTTTCTCCTCACTTCTGATGCAACCTTAGCCTTCAGAACAGGGAGTAAATGCAAACTGCTCCATCCCAAGGGCTGGGACCTGTTTATTCAGCCTTGGACTACTGCCTAAAAGCAGTGCTAGGCGGAGGCACTGAGATTTCCACATCGGAGCAGGTCACTGAATTAAATTTCCTTAACTTTAAGCCTGGAAGGGACCGTAGTGGTGGAGATGCACACAGAGGGCTGGAGTCCCAGGCTCTCTGCAATGCTCACACCTCGGTTCCTGCTGCTGTGTAACTTTTTTAAAGGCATCTCGAGGCAAAAACAGTGCTGTTGAATCCAGCACACCTTGCATGACGAGCCAGGGCAAGACTTCTTGCTGGTGAAAGTGCACTCATGATGTGCTGACTGCTTGAAGCACTAGCTGTGATTACCAAAAATTAGGGGTTGCTTGCTTGTGCCTGCACCAGCTCCCTTCTCATGCTTGGCAGGTACCAGTTTTGTTTTATAAAAGGCAAAGGGAAAAATTCTGTAGTTTGTTAACCGAAGCCATCCACTCTTTTCCCCGAAGGCTGGCCGTACACATCAACACCTTCTTGAATGTGTAATCACAAAACTAAATTCATGCATGAGCAGTGTGACCTTCCTAATATTCATGAAAACAGTAGGTGAAATAAAAAGGAACCTGCAGAATTCAAGCTAGAGGCAGGGAATTACTTGAAAAGCCACACACCAAGTGTTTGTTAATTGAAAGTCTTAGAAAGTAGATCTCTCGAAACTGTGGGATGTGCAGGTGTGTGAGCATCTCCATTTCAAAAGGAAAGTAAGCCTGGCATCTGTTGGAGGAGAGGTGGTAGGTGCTGTTAGCTTTGAATGATATTGATTATTTTTTATAGCACCTGCACAGCATGGAGCCTGAAACTGCTCAGATCAGACTCAAGGTTGTTGCTGGGGGAATCCTGAGCTTGGCCTGATAGCAAGAAATACAGCAGGCTGTTTGTACCCAGACATCACCACCCCTTTGCTTCTAATCCTGCCTAGAACATTCCTGTGGCTCAGCAGGGCTTAACCTGGCCTTTCTCATCCAAACACATTCACTAAACCATGGGCTGCTTCAGCTGATTAAGCTCATGTCTCACTTATTGAGTGTGGCAGCAGGAGGACGTGGTGGGCTGCTCTGGGTGCCAGAGGATTCTGGTTTGTCAGCAGCTGGAAGACTTGACGTTGATCTGGATTGCAGTTGACGAGAAACTGTGCTCCACACACGGGCACAAACGGTGGCCTTGGAAAAGCAGCAGGAGGGGTTGGAGGCTGGTTCTGCTGACTTTGTGTCTGGGGAGTCTGAACCAAACAGGGCAGTGATTCAGAGTTGGTGGGAACAGCTTCAGCCTCTCCAAGGAATACTGTATAAAGACGATCCTTCCCTTCCCACCTCTGTGTTTCAGGTCTGGCAAGAGGATTAAGAAGACCAGGAAGTACGACATAATCACCACTCCAGCTGAGAGGGTAGAAATGGCTCCTCTGAATGAAGAAGATGACGAGGACGAAGACTCAACAGTGTTTGATGTGAAATACAGGTACTGCTGCCAGCCTGTCCAGTTAGGCTTGCTCCTTGAGCTCTTATTAGTGAAGACAAGCTCTTTTATTTCTCTGCTGAGCCAACTTGATAGAGGTGAGGCAGTTGCAGTCTCCCTTCTACTCTGCTCAAGAATTATCCCTGTCCTTTACAGCCCCCTCGTCCTGTTCCCAGCACACGTGGCTCTGTACCCTCCTGTTCCTGCAATAACCACATTGCTACCCTCAGGCTGTCTTCAGAGCAGCACGATGCCCCAAATAGCTGACAGGGTTTAACAGACTGAACTTCCCCTCTTGGGCAGCTGTTGGCAGTCGTTCCTGTGCACTTGCATCGGATCCAGGGCTGCTTTTCCAGGTGCTGCTGTGAGAGCCTGGAAAGGAAATAATAATGAATTTCCACCAACCTTTGGGTTTGTACCAGAATGCTCTCATGTTGGTCTGTGACACAGAGAGGACTGCAGTCCCTCGCTGATGCTGTTAGCAGTTATCCCTTAGCAACAAACTTTCCTTAAATATGTTTGTGACATGGGAGTGGTGTGACAACCCAAAACTTTTGGTGCCTATTCTGGGCTGAGATTTATAGCAACCACTCAGCACGTAAAGATGCTGTGCATTGATTTATAGCACCAGGGTATCTGCATCTCTTATTTTTATTTGCATGCAGCCATCCACACAATTCAACTTGCATTCTCATCCAAATAAGGCCTACTCTAAAATCTGTCCCACTTAGGCTGAAATAAGCTCTCCTAATTATAAAAATGCAGATCTTGACAACTTCTAACTGGAGATTTTACAGACTTTACTCATGTTGCCCATCTCTTAGGTTTGGAAAGAGGGAACACCACATCTGCTCTAGGCACATTTGTGCCAGCATCTGAACCACACATTACCACACGCTCCACTGGTTGTTTCCAAAATCACTGCATTAGTTCTCTATAAAAGTCAGGAAATATTTGAGAGCCGTGAAACAATGAAGGGTGTGAGTCGAGCCTTTATGTGTAAACAATTAGTTCTTGAATTAGAGGGCTCCTATCAGTCCTTGCCTGACCGTTGCTGTTCCCTGTAGCTGCCCTGCGTTTGCTCTAATGATTTCAGCTTGTGCAGTTTGTACTTTGGGATCGAGCTTTGTTAAACCCAGAATGCAGGGATCTGACTCGCCAAGGCCTGCTTTAACAGCCTACATCTCCCACCTCTCTTCCTTTTAACTCAATACTTTCTCTGTGAACTTCTGGAAGTGGAATCAGAGGGGTTTTTCCCAAAGAGTGAGAACAGAAGATTCGTAATCATGGCAGTGTGTCAGGATAAGATGTCTAATAGTACAGTACTGGATGAACAAAGAGAGGTTGCTGGAAACCATTTGACTCATGAGAGCTGTGCTCGTGTTCCCTGACGTTGTTTCCGTGGAGCTCGTGCTGTGCCAATGCTTTCACTAAAGGTATTGGGTCATCCTGGGTTCCTGAGCAGTGCAAATGGCTCTTCACCTTGTGCTGTGTTGAGACCAAAGGGGTTTTGGGTTCTTAGTCAACCAGTCCTTTTTTTCAGCTGTGGGAATTCTTCCTTTCTGCCGCAGTGCAACAGCTATTAAATTCCACAGTTTCTGAAGTCCTTGCTGTCTCAGACATACTTTTGTTTAGTTCAAACAGAGCTACCTCAGTTTAGAGAGAGAGATCATGTTACAGACAACCCTTTAGCAGTACTGATTTTGGGAAAGCTTCTTTGAGGGTACATTTGCTGTAAAAGGTATCAAGCTCTCTGGTTCCTTTGTGCAGCTTGGAGGCCATGTTGCAAACAGTTCGTAAATCCTGTCTCCAGTAAAGAGACTTCTTTGCAAATCTGTGTTTCTGAGGTTGACACTGACAACCCCAATGAATCAGTCAGGAGGTTCTTCATAGGTGCTTGTGTGCAGGTAGGAAGAGAGGGATAGAGCTGCAGAATGGGCAGCTCAGACTTGCCCTGAATAAGTCAGGGAACAAACTTCTACAAGGTCTCCTGTTGAGGTACCTTCCCCAGCCCTCCCCTCCCTTCCAAACTGGCATTCATGATGTAGGGAAGCTTTGGGCTGGTTTGGTTGAGGTCCCCTCCCATCGCTGAAAGATCTGTTCCGGCACTTGCATCTGTGTTTTGGGGAGTAATTGAGATTCTGTGCTCTCTCTCCATGCAATGCAAACAGCTCTCTGATTAAAAGGCAGTCGGTGTGGAGCAGCAACAGGGGAGAAGCTGCGTTTACCTCTCCAATTGTTCTCATGCAGTTAATTTTCTTTCCTTTAATGCTTTGTCCTTGTGTGGATTTGTTTCCAGTCTTACATGAGGCATCAAAGAACAGCAGACAGTGTAAATTGGGCTGCTGGATTTAAGGTCATTTTTTTTTTCCAGGAGGCTTTAAGGTTTTTTAGGCTCCCACTAGAACCCACCCCTGGCTTCCCTTGGGCAGTGGAGCAACAAGACATAACCACCTTCCTCCTGTAAGGCAAACTAACGAGACCACTTCAAAATCTTACCCAAACGTAGTCCTTTCTGTGGATGCAAAATCCACCCACTGCTGCCTCTGTTGAATTCCAAAGTGTGGGTGTGCTGGATTGGATCCCTTTGTTGCAATCTCACTCCAGCTCTGTCAGTGGCCTCTCTAATCCTGCAGGCACAGTTTCTATGTGACAAGAGGCTGAAAGTGTAAATCTAAGATTGTCACAGGAGCAAAGATGCCAGATGACTTGGACAGTAGCACTTTGAAAAGCTTCATGGAAACCAGTGTTTACATATGGAGGATGGTTTTCTATATGTATTTGCTCTGGTATTGAGAGAGGCATTTGGATAAAAAGTTCAGGAATTGTTCTGAAATTTATTACAGAGTTACACAAAGAAAGCAAACTGAGCATGAAAAGAGTGGTTTTTTTCTTGATCACCAATTCAATCTGTGCTGCTGAAGGCTGAAAACCATCCCTGTCCAATTGATTTCTGGACCATATGAACTGTGTTGGTCATCATTTTCTAGATGTCAGATGTTTTCTCAAGTTTTATGATGGGATTACACTTGCTGCCCATCTTCAGAAATGAGTTAGTGGAAAGCTAAATCCCATCTTCCAAGTGTGCTCTTTCTCATCCTACAAATAGATCTTGATTTGAAGAGTTCCCTCTCCTCTTTTCTCCTTTAGCACTTTCTTTCAAGAAGGCAAGGGAAATTTGCACGGGTTCCATGATCATCTCCTTAATGGAGCTAAGCCATTGATTCATCAGGGAGTTGGCACCGTGTGATACTCGAGTAGAGAGAGCAGTGAAGTAAAGTAGGTTACAGGCAAACATCCCCAACAAACTGGTGTCCATCCCCCACTACAGAGCACTCTGCTTGTTTTGTGTAGTAAGAGAAAAGACATTAAAACAGCTGCAAAAAGAACCAGTTTCTGAAAAGGTAAATAAAATTGTTAGCTTGTTAAGCTTATTAACTCTAGTTTAGCTCATTGGGGGATTTCTTGTCAGCTTCAATAGGAAACTGAAAACAAGTACTGAATAAATTCTGTGGCGCCTTGCACATGAAAGGCTTTGAAAGCACTTCAGTAATCTGGGATATCAGCAGTGGCTTCTCTCCCTGCTGACTTGCAGCTGTTGGAGGCAAGTTGTGCTGTTGCTAAGCTTGCTGAGCCCAGCTGGGGGAATTTCACAACTGTCCAGGGTGATATGTGCCATGTGACAGCCTGGAGTTGGGGAAGAACTTGGAATTTAAATGCCAGTCCTGATGTCAGGCTCCTAAATAAATACTGATGGAAAGTTTTTCTTGGCCAGATTGAAGCCTCTGTCCATCCTGTCGGCTGAGTAAAATTCCTCAGTTTGTTTCCCCCATGGATTGTCATTTTTCCCTGTAACAGCAGCGGCACCAGGAGAACGCAGAAGCAGTTTAGGAATGCATCTTCCAAAGTGCTCTTGAAAGGAGAAAGATTTATTGGTAAAGAATGGTGGCAAGCTGAGGGAAGAGGACAGGAATATTTATTCAACTATCATGGGTCTAAATGGCTTTTGAGAGCTTGCAGGATGTTTCAGAGGAAAGGTGCACCACATGTAAGGGCTGGATTCTGGAATCATCCCTTTTTCAGGCACCGATAGCATTGAACTGTGTAGAAACATCTTCATCACAGTTGCAGGGCTCAGCCTTTGATGTGCTTGAGTCTTTTGGGAATCTCTGTAAAATATGAGAATTACACTACTGGTGCCTTCTTTTTGACTACGTCCTTTCCAGATCCTGACCGCGTGTGCAGCTCTGAATGGAACGTGGAATTGTCCACTTGTTACAGCGAGGTGTTCACTCCCAAGGGAGCAACTCTAATGGATTTTTTTTCAAGTGAAAGCTGCAGGCAGTTCTGGATGACGCCAGGTGAATTGTGCTGGGGTTTATAGGAGGTTATTTTTTTTCCCCAGCAGGCAGCAGTGACAGGTTGTGTATAAATGGAGGGGTATCATTTATCCTCATCTGAAGGGGGTGCAAATCACCAACACAGGCAGCAGCTCACTATAAATACAACAAATTGCCAAAGCTTTGGTGCTGCTGTTAAGGATTTCCCATAGGCCCACAGCAGGGGTGGAAAGAGATGGTGAAAAAGCAGTTTTTGTTTGGTTCTTTCCTCATGCTGCTGTAAGAATTGTTACGGAGCACACTGTGTCCTGCTGGCTCATGCAGTCCTACAGGAGGGCTCTCACCTCCTTCCTGGAGTTCCTATTAAAACTTTATTTTGAACCCTGAGGCAGTTAAAGCACTAGGGTGTCAGGAGGAGCACCCATAGCAAGGAGGATGGTCCATGTGTGTTGGTTAGTAAGGGGCTGCACTGGTGTGAAAAGAGCTGTGCTGTTCAAGATGTGGTTTCACTTGCAGTGAAATATCAGCCTCCCCATGCATATTCCCTTCTGTGCTCTGCAAGTGACTGGCCACAAGATCTTTCAGCATCTGGGTTTTGTCTCACCCAACTCTGCTTTTGCCTTCAGTTGCTCTCTCTTCCTCTGGTATGGTGCTAACATCACA